TTCTACAGGCTGTTTACGAAGGAAAGGTCAATATTTTTCATGATGACGATAGCGCGATAAAAAGAAAGAAAAATTAGGGTCTCTCTACCGAGTGTGTTTCGCGAATCTCGACGATTTCACGTAATTGAGAAAATCGAATGTCTTTAAAAGATGGTGGGAGAAAATCGAACGTATATATATATATATATATATAAAGTTCAACGTGTAGCCTTACTTTTCGGAGTTATGCGACGAATTTATGCGTCTCGCTTTCGGAAAACCTCGCTTGTTAACCTCGACAACATACAGAAACGTTACGGCGACGCGCTTTTACGCTACGAGCGCACCAAGTCAACGAACTTTTATTTCTCTCTATGGATTTCGTCAATTTTGACAGCGTTTGATTCCGAAGAGTAAATATAGTGGAAAATATACTTTATGGCAAATAGCGTCACATTTTACTCGCCGCCATTTTGTATATGCGCAGGGCCGCCGCAAGCGGGATTCGATTCTGTATCTTGAAATCAGCCTACGGTAAATGAGAATGGATTAAAACGGATTAAAATTTTTAATCCATTCGAATGCGTATTTTAAATGGGAAAACTTTTCTGGATTTAATTGGATTCAATCGGATTGAAGAACTGCGTTTCTTATCCAGAATTTTGAATTAAAGAAGCATAGAAAACGTGCTTCGTGCAATTCCTATAAATGAATAAAGAGATAGGTGGATATTGAAAATATTGAAATGGATTTAGATTTTTGAAATACGCATTCGCGAACGCGCGCGTCCGTTAAAATGAATCTTTTTTTAATTCAAATATAATAGTTTTTTTTTTAATTCATTTTAACTGATTTTCCTTTACTGAAAGGTGGAGATTACAAAAATAATCGAATTTACTAGAATATTTATAATTTTATTGGTCAACCTAGTAAATTTATTTATTGTTGTAATTTTCACTTTGTTTAAAGATACAGAATCAATCCTCAAGTATGCATAAAGGCATATTAACAAGGGCAGCGCCAAGTTAAGTTTTAATCCTCCGTTTGCAATCTGATTTTTTTATCCAGCCCAATTTTTTTTACTGTTATATGTTTTTAAAAATGTGGAAAATTTCAGTTATTTTTCAATATCTTTCCGCCAACAAGATTCCTACCAACAAGATATTTTATGGAGGGGAAACCGAACTCCGGTTTATTTTAGAGAAAAAGAGTGAAATTTTACTTGTACTAAAAAAGCCTCAGATTGCAAAAGAAGAATTAAAAATCAATTTTCCACTAACACCAATTGCGTGTGCACGCTTTTCCGTTAGATTTAATTTCTTCCAAAACGTGTATATTAATTTAGAATAACCAAAATCTAATCATAAAATCAAAATCATCGATCTGAACTGATCTGAACAGATAATTATTTATTTGTCGATCCTATTAAAACTTTTCGATACATGCAGAGCCGTATATATACATGCAAATCCATTTAAGATCATCAAGAACATCAATAATTTTTCTAGAACGGAAATGTGAAAAATAAAAAATTTCTCTGTTAATATTAATGATAGAAATTTTCATTTTTTACATTTCTATTCTAGGATAAAAATAACATGATCCAATTGCATCTTGTTGAAAGCTATTTAAAAAAAATTATTCAAAACCAAAAACTTTTAAAAAATTGATAAATAAAAATTAAGAGAAGCGACAAATCTCCTTTACACAAAGGCGCTTTATGTGTCAGCGGCGGCCCTGTGTACGCGTGATATCGTTTAAAATAGGAGTAGGATTTAGATTGTAAAGTTATCGGAGCAATTGTATGACATTGTCGTAAATCATCGCCTTTCGCAGTCACCCTTTAATAACTACGAACGTGAGCGTTGCGTGCGCCATTGCATTTATATTATTGGTCGAAGGAACACGATTTCGAATTGCGTGCGCGTGCGCGCGCGCGCGCAAACAGCGCTCTTTTTAAAGAGCACCTCGTTCGAGTTGAATGAATGGGAACGGAAATAGAGACCGAAAAATTGCGGAGTAAAATTAAATAAAAGTTATAATTAAAACTTCACTCGGTTCCTAAAAAACCTTCATTATATTGCAGGTGGAAATCAACGTGAACTAGCACGAGCCAAAAATTTGAAAAAAACCGTAAAGAAGGCAGCGTCGGAACAAGACAGCAATAAAGGTCTTTCCTTAGAACAACGTAAAGCACGGTACATCTTCTGAATATATCTTTTCCTTTTTCTATTCGAAAATTGATAGGCTTAATTAGAAATAATAATGGACTACAAAGTTGAATGTTTATTGCTAAAATTTATATGATGATTGTAATAAATTGAAACAACTGATATAATTTTTATACTGGACACAATTTGAACGTACATTTCTTTTTACAGCGACGCGGAACGAATGAGAGAGAAACAACTTAAGAAACAGGGTGAACCAGGAGACAAGTCCAAGCAGGCAGCGAGATAATTCGACGAGGAAAGTGCATGTATAAATTTTTATAAGAACGGCTATATCACGCAACCAATGGCTACGCTAAAAAGATTCGCGACTGTAAGAGACACATACGTCGATGCTTACCGGAGACAGAAAAATGAATCACTATGTCTTTGATGTTAGAGAATTTTTCCATTGTCGGCCGTACACAGGTATGTCAACCGTATGACGTACCTCAGGACCTAGCCTCGATTATCTTGTTATTTACACGTTGCTCACGATAACAGTTATAATCAGTGTGTACAAAACTTGACGTTACCTACACCTAAATTCAGTCAAAGAAAATACGCGTTTGACTGATTTCTCTAGGTATAAGGATATTAAATAATACGATATATTTGTAGTACTAATTTCCAATCTGTAAAAATTCAAACTTTCACTTATTTAATATGTTATGTAATTAAATGTGTAACGAGCGAACGATCATTAGACACACATGTGTTACTATCGTTGCCTCTCGCTTGTAATAAACTGTTCAAATTTTAATAATACTCGTATAATTCTTAAATCTTTCGTCCTATCCCGTGCGAACTGTAACGATATCGCTATACTATGATAAATTAGCAGTCGTTTAGTGATAGTTTAATAATTTTATATAATTAAATCTAAATTATTAAACGATGACAGGGAAAATGGAGATTATACAATCTTGTTTCCCACATTTTTATTGCACTTTCCCAAAAAGAGTACATTTTCTTAACGTACTAATTTTAATGACGTTTTCATAATTTCGCTTTAATCACAAATATTCGTGGATATTAACATTGAGTTGAATGAGAATGGTGTACAACGTGATTCGATAAATGTCATAACGGTGGAAGACCGAACCTTAATTACTAATATGGAGAGAGGAAAAAAGAATGTACACTATACTAAGTGACGAACATATTGTCTAGCCTCTAAAGACCAAAACCCCCGTTAAAGTAGCATCTAGATCTCTGCAATCTGGAAAAATGTCGAAATTCAATTCTTTTATTTTCGAGTGGCTATTTCAGATTTAATAGGCTGTACTTTTTTGCGTTCTATAACACATCTATAAGCAGGAACGTTCCACTCGTCTTTTCTTTTTTTTTTCTTTATTTGACAAGTTTAGTAATATGCGAGGAACAGCGCACTATATTGAGCATTCACTTAATTATAATAGTATACTACTAATATTTATTTGAAGAATTTACATGTGATACTTTAATATTACGTTACGTGACGTTGGGAATCCATATAACGTAAAAAATTGTCTTTCCAGATGATTCGGCTATTGAATAAAACTAACACACGCGCGCACGCGAGTTGGTATAGATTATATATTTATATAAAATAGAGACATGTGCGATCTTTTGCTGATTTCTCTTCACCCACACAATAAACTTTACAATGTAGTCAATTTGTATTTCCAGCGTTTTCATTAATGACTTAATTTAAGATAAGAAGCTGTTCTTTCTTGTAAGTAAAAAATTGATATTAAAATATATGGTTCTGTGTGTATTAATTTATCTCTGTTAAATTCACAATTGAGTTGAAAAAATGCTTGATGCTTTTATTAAGAAATTTAATTATCTTCGATATATATATAAAAAATTCAATTAACGTATTAAACTCGTCACTATTTAAATTGAGTTTCGACTGAGCCTTATAATAGTGTGCTCAAGTTCCATGATACCTTAATAATAATACAATTATCTAAAAATGGGCGGCAAAATGTTGCTTCTATTCCTCCGTCTTTCTGTTAAATGGTCAATGTCTTTACAAAATTCTCCGTATACACATGCAATTTTTATAGTATTACAGTAAATATTATCTTATATATCTATTTTCGATGATGCAATGTCCTTGCATATGAACAAATATAATCGGTAATGCGATAATTTTGGAATAATAATTTCGAAAATTTTGAAGGAAAATTACGTTTAAAATTACAGCATTACGGAAAAAATGCCGATTGAGCTTATTTAGTTAATGTATGTGTATGATGTGTGTATTGCGACTTATCATTACAACGCTATATTTGTAACAATAGCACCATATTCGTATTGTTCATAGGTAAATTATATTTTAGAAGTTGAACAATTTTATGCACATGTAGCATGCTGTTTGTCCGTTACGTTTGGAAAAAAATTGTATTACATCGATTCTCTTATGTTAAAATATTAAAAATTGCAAAAAAGGATCTATTTTAAATAAATTTGATAAGTCTAATCAGATGAATTTTCATAGCATCTCTTTACAGGGCATTATATAATTAATTATCTAATTAAATAATAGGAAATGTTTTGTACTTTAAAATTATTTTGTTTAATACGTAATAGAAAAGGTTCAAATCTCATTAATTTCTTAATTATACATATGGAGATACTGAAAATCTATTAAAATTTGCATAAGCCACATAATTTAGAACAAAACTAAAAAAAATTACATTGAAAGAATTAAATATTAAACATATATTTTCTAATAATTTGTACATGTAATAAATTTCAGCAAGTAAAAATGCATTTAAGCTAGAGTTTTTTTCCTCGAAAATATAATTAAGTATAGTGCCTTTAAACATTTTTAAAAAGTGTGTGTATATATATAAAGTCTTCCGCGAGAACATTTTTATCATAGCTCATATAACGCAAAATACGTCTCAAGTGCATTTTATGTTATTTACTAATTCCAAATGTACATCTTGCAGCAAGCAAACTAAATCGAATCCGTTTATCAAAACGAATGAGTAATTACATCATAATACTTGGGAAAGTTTTATCGCGTAAATTTAACAAAATTGCTTACATATCTAATTCCAATCTACATCTATAAACAATATACTGCATGCTAATACCTAAACGTGGTGAGAATACGAAACTGGGACATATATTTCTTTCACTTTCCATTTATATATGGAATGTACGCATATTTATTGTGACAAATCGAGTGAACTTTAATTCGTTCCGCAAGTTTTTTTTTTAAGATAATATTCTTTAAAAGTCTAATAAAAGGATCCTATTCTCTTCCGCGTAATACTTATATGCGAGTACCTCCCTGCAATTTTTTAAATATTTTTAATGAAAGGAAAATAAATATTGTGCAAACAAGATAACAATTTTATTTTCGGATAATGTAATTGACTTACTTATAAATCCTATGTTGGATTGTTATTTGGACGGCGGAAAACAAAGAGATAAATTGATTAATCTATCCCTCACGTTCGCGATTGGCCGTTTTGGATTTAGTTTCTCGTGATTCCTCGTAAAGCACGGACGAAGCATAAAGATAAAAATAAGTAAAACGAAGGAAGACAGATTCTTCGATAAAATTAACTAAGTTACTTGTCTTTACTACACAGGTCATCGCTTCCTCGACGGACTCGATGAAAAAAAAAAGATACAATCTGTACCATGCAGTGTTGAGAGTATCGAGGAAGCGATTGGTCAAGGGAGCGGAAAGCGAAGAGATTTTGGGGGCTCGCATAGTTTACAGACTTCGTCTCATATCTAAAGATTCCTAAAGATTCAGAGAACATATCGTGCAAGTCTGGGCAACGCAATGCGAGTGCAGATGCGACGATTGCGAAGCAGTGAATTGGTACCGCCTCCAGCATTGACGTGTGACGTCGGTCCACTCTCTACTCACATCACCTATGAGAATAAGTCGATGAAAAACATAGTTCATTGATACATTTCTCGATCGAGACTCCATTGGTTGTAACATTTAACAGGATTATATTCGATTATTCTAGAATCTTCAATTCTCAACAGTTTCAACTTCTGGGCGTATATTTAAGAGCTGTAGCTTTTCATTTCAATCTTGATTTACCTGTATGTACGCAAACATGAAGAAAATTATAATTTGCAAAGATTTTTATCATAGCGATGAATAAATATTGTAACATTTGCAACTCACTATTTATGCGGAATTAATATAGCGTTACGTCGTCAAGTCGTCATCAGATCATATAAAACGAGAAACTTATATATATATATATATATATATACAACGGTATAAATTTTCAAGTTAAAAAATTATACAGTAAAGCATTTAATAATATTTAATTGATAAAAATATCAGTAATTTAATAACGTATATTGATAGCTACTTTAATAATAAATAATTTCATAGAAAAAAATATACTTTGCTCATTCTGTATAAGGTGTTTAATATTTATCTTGCCAATTGAAATTATAATTGTAAAAACATTTAGTTTGCGAATAAATCCATTGGAATGAAGTACAAAAAAAGATTAGCCTGATTGTCAGTTATTCTGTATCCGCAGCTATTCCGTACAGTATATGACGTAATGAGTGGTTTCACGAATGATTACATAATTACGGATAATAGTAAGATTTCAGATAGGAGTATAACGACTTGAGTATGCTTTTGTCACGCAATTAATTATGAGCGCGTGTACGTTCCGATAATCGATCGTTCTGACAAATTAAATTATTACAAATGCAAGAATGTTATAAAACATAAAACTATCAATGTAAGATCGTACAACTTTCACACGTTACCTTCACCAAGATTCAATCGCGGTATTGGTATCGATAGTTGTTCGAATTTTCGTTCTGTACGCAATTACGCACGTATTTAGATTTATTGATTTATAAACTTGATTACCGCGATATTACGATGACACATCTATAATATTTGATTACTGTTAATTGCGCCGATTTCGGCAGGCACATTTAGAATAGAAATAGACGTACCTGTAATATCTGGCTTGCCTCAAAGGCTGTTCCTGGTAATAGTACAACCGGACTACTGACATGTCCACTCTCGACGCATATCATGTTAGGAAATTCGTCGTCACCGAAATCCGGGATGTCGCGCGCCTTCTCCTGCCAAGGATTCCAAACGACCGTGTCGGGAAAGTTGTACTTTTGCACGCGCATTTTCCTACCGGAAACGACATTCGTGATGATATGCTCCGGCTGCGTGTTCTGATAGATCCGGTCGGTCCATTCGCACACCGTGACGACGTCGCGGCCTTCTTGGTAAATTTGGTTGTCCCTAGTCTGTGCGCATGAATGAAACACAACTTGTGAGACAGGATTGCGTGCGGCCGCGATATGTAATTCGTTTCGATTGTGCTCCGGACTTAACGGAGCATCGTACTCCGCTCTAAGTAACACCGCTCTAGGCCGACTCTTTAATGACTAGTCTTTATATGTGTAATAACAGATCTTCTTGCGCAAGTTTTAAAATCGACTCTCCGGTAACGTTGAGTCATTAATAACCAGCTAATTAAGATTAATTGAAAATAAACGATTCTTTTCCGTGAATCTTACAGAGAGCCTTACAGTAAAATTTCTAATGAAGTCTTTCAATCAATTTATATTTTAATTAACGGATTATATATAATTTAACAAAACAGGCTTACGTTACCTTGTCGAGGAACGTGCACCCGTGCAGTCCCGTAATTTGGCATCTCCTGACATCGGGTACCTTGAAATAAGTGTGTAGGAGCAGATTAAAGGAGAAGGGATCTTCTCTGCTCGGGTTATATACGCCAATATTAAAATGCAGCTCCTTCTCGCGCAGTATTAGCCTGTACGTTAGCCTGAATTGTGAATTCCACAGCGATCGCGTGAATTCATTGTCCATTATCGAGAATATCGCTTCGATGTCCCCGCTGGGCAATCGCTCCGGTGTCTTCTCCACGTTCCAACGAATGATCCTGGCGAAACCGTGGGGTGGTCCGTACGTCCATGTTCCGAATTGTGCTGCGAAGATAACGTGCATCGTATCGAATTAATCTCTTCACTGTGTATGAAGCATATGTGCACACAAAAAAGACGTGCCACCAATGTGTAATGTATAGAGGATAAGTTCGAAAAGTTCTCGACCTGACATCTAGCAAAATGACCCACAAATATATATCAAACTGCTAAAATTTTAGACAAGTTTGATCTTTTACAGGGCTACTGTTAAAATTTCAAACAGATGCATTCATTAGTTTCTTTGTTTCGGTCGTGTAAAGCAACTTTTGGTTTCATCATGGCAATGTACCCGCTCACATTTTTTCACTTACAGTCGCAAAATTCCATAAATTGGTCCCGCAAGTACCGTATTTCACCAGGTTACTGCTTTACACGACCGAAATAATGAAACTAATGAACGCAATTGTCTGAAATTTTAACAATACAGCCCTGTGAAGAATCAAACTTGTCTAAAATTTTAGCTGTTTGATATTTGTGGCGTTATTTCTATGTCAGGCCGAGAACTTTTCGAATTATTTTCCTCGTGTGCACATCTAAAAAACCCACTTACCCTCTTGCGATTTGTCTGAATCTTGGTTTCCTATGGTTTCTGAGGTCGCTGAATCCGAATATCAAAATTTCCAAATTCAAAATGACGTATCCAATATAACGGTTCAAAATTTAGAAAAATAATTGAATTTTTATAAAAATGATTATGCTAAAATTTTCGAGGTCGCTGAATCCAAATATGTCATCTAAATTTTTTAATTCATAATGACGGTTTCAATATAGTGGATCAAAATTTGAAAAATAAATGAATTGTTATAAAAGTGAATTGTTATAAAAGTGAGTATTCCAAAATTGTTGAAGTGGCTGAATACTAGAATTTTGTTTTTCTAAATGACAAATCAATCTTTGCTATACTTAAAAATAATAATTCATAAAAAATATTATATTAATTATATTAATAGAATAATTTTTCATAAATGCTGCTTTCTGCTAAATCCAAAGTCATGAAAAGGAAATGAGGTCGTAGCGAGTTTTAATTACATATTTTAATTTTTTTACTTAAAAAATATTTTATTTTTAATTTTTAAAAAATTATTTTATTAATTTTTGATACGTTTTTTGAAATTCTGGTATTATATTTGAATTCAGTAACTTCAAAAACTTTAATACTGAAATCGTAGATACGGAAATCTATAAGAAACTTTTTTTTTTTACACACTGATAGCACGGAAATCTCATTTTTGCTACACTACGAAGGGATTAACCGTGTAAATATATCGCTGCTGTTTTTACATGTTCTTTAAATTAGATTTTCAGTCAAATTTTCACGGTATTCGAGTTGACTCTCTCTTTTTATCAGCAGTTTAGATTCGCGTATAAGATTGTCTTCGCCCTTTAAACTTTGGTCAAATTATTTTCTTTTCTTTCCTATACAGCCGTAAACATGATGTATCGCTTCATCTATTATACTTACGAAAGACGAACGGTATGCCGCCCCTAATCGCTTTCTTTCCGTCGAACACAGCTTGCTTACTGAAACACAAAGATCCAGCCGGAGAATGAAAAAAAAATTGATAATCGCGTACTAGAAAGAATACTCGTTTATAAGTTTTATTATGATCTGGATATTTTGATTGTAATTCACTATACGTTGCACGTGTTACGTTTTCTATCTATTATTTCTCATTATTTAACAGGACAAATATCCTATGGAAAATCGAAGAAAATATATTATTTAAAAACGATGCGAGAATTTATTTGTTCGCGCGTTTTGTTTTTACGCCCAGATGCGAAAAGCGCAGGTATTATTATTATTCCCTCCCTGTAATAAAAAAAACAAAGAATCTTCGATTTGTCGATAACATCGAAAAATGTGCGGACGAATATCTCTTCCTTCTGTTATTCGCAGCTATTGCATTGTTATTGTAAATTGCGCACGTATCAGATGTCAGATTAATGAAACTGTCTGTAGATATGCATAGTGGGTGATGCATAGGTGTAAATATTTGTTGAACAAATTAACGATTTGTACTGACAATGAGAAACAGCAAAAAATCTACCAAGAATGCGTCTAATAAAAAAAAAGTTTAGTGCAACTTTCATTGAACTTTTAAATTACTAAAATTTCAGAGATATATTAAAAATGGAAAATAATGACGATCGAAGAATGCTCCGAATAAATAATTTACTTTCGTTACTTTTTTTTTTAGCTTTTTATATTCTTGTAGGCGCGGTTTAGACTCTCGTACGAGAGTTCCATCGGAGCTTCTCGTTTAACTAATTTACGAGGACCGCGCAGAATTTTACGATCGCGTATTCTGCTGAGGATAGAGATGAGTTGCGTATAAATCGATGTATAAATAATGCTGCGAGGATGGTTCATAAAATTTGACAACAAATAGGTCAATATTGGTTTCGCGATTAATCTTGTAGCGTGATTGCTATATTGCGTCTTGCAAAACTATGAAGATCGACAAAATAGCGTTATTAATATAAGTTATTGTGCTTCGTTGATTTAGAGATGTATCGACGCTAATACCATGCAGGGCCGTACTTTTGTCACTCTTGTAGCCTGAAATTCTCAAGAAGCGAGACAATATAGTCAGGTCGATAAACAATGCTCGGTTATACATGGCTCGCAGGAATTTTTCTACAGAGAAAACAGTTTTACAACTAAGCTGCATAGTCGCCATAGTTAAAGTAAAAAGAAGTTGAACATGAAAAGGTCAATAGAGAGTGACCAAGTTACTGTCTCTGTAATAAAAAAAAAAAAAAACACAAAACAACGAAAGATCTTTTATTCTTGGCCGTTTTGTTCCATAATTTTTTGTAAGGACGCAGATGAATATAACAATTACGATATTTCATTGTATAACACAGCTAAATACTTTGTAGACCTGACGAGAAAGAATGCTTGAGAATTCGTTCCACCGTGTATGAGGTTGGTTGGTACAGTTATGGTACAGGGAATGGAAAAAAAATCTTATAGCAACAGACAATTAGACTTTTTTTGCACAAGTTTCCTAATTATCCTAACTGTTATGCAATTTCGCAACAATATCAAGATATTTCTTCTCAGTATTCTAACAATTTAAGAATATTTAGCCGTAAAATCCGTTAAAATACTGTTGTCGAAATATTTGAATTTTACATAAAAAAATAAGTTTATATAAATTTGTAAATTTTTTCTCAGAATGTGCGGCCGAAATATTTGTACGATTTGTCGATTCTGAGATCATTTCGAGCAGGTTAGAGAACTCGTTGATCCCTTTCGTTAGCGAACTAGAACGCTCTCGAAGCGGTTGATATCCCCGATGATGCGAAAGGAGAGAGACGGAGATGTCGCGTTGCGTGAACGCCATAGAGAGAGAAAAGGAGAGAGACGGAGAACTATAAAGCCGGAGGGCGGATGCAGGATGACCATTAGTCAAGCCTGTCAGGGGCCGCAGAGATGTTCCTAAGAAGGAGCTTGAGGATACACTCGGGATCCAAGTCTACGAGGAAGATTCGCGAAATCGAAACGTATCGATAATACTTGGATCACGTTTCTCGAGCTTAATTTTCGATTCGATCGATAAAAATTCTTGCCAAATTGTTTGATTTGAAATTCGCAAATATAATCGGAGGCAGATATAAAAATTCATATTTATATGCAAAAAGTTCCAATATGCGCTGAATTGCCATCTGATTGGCGATAGCTGATCAAAACAATTAGAGCAATTCAAGTGAAAATAAATCCCGTTTGGACGAGTCGAAAGCGTTACCCGAGTGTTCCGCTCTGATATCGTCTTTCGCGCACCGGTCAATTCTGACAGCCAATGATGAAGTTAATGACGAAATCTCGATTCCAGAACCATGCGCTTTCATCACCGCGCGAATGCCGCTGTTCGTATTCTCTCGCAGCAATACGATGTAATCCATTTTCCTGGATGCGTAAACCGCGAAGAAGGAGGAGAAGGTAATCCCATCCGTTTGCACGATCCCGAGGCGAACGGAACACGGGAACAGAGATGGAGAGACGGACAGATAGATGGATCGCGACAACCCGAATGTCACAGCGAAAAGAGAAAGACACAGAGAAGGCGAGAGAGCGATAAAGCGAGGGCGAGAGAGAACGAGAGAGAGAGAGAGAGAGAGAGAAGGGGAGGGAGAGAGATAGAGGGAACTTATGCCCGAGAGAGGACGAAGAGGGCAGAAGAGAGGCAAGAAGGGAGGATGAATGCGAGAGTGGGAGAGCCAAGGGGTGAGAGGAAGCGAGAGGGTAGAACGTAGAACGATGTACCACCACCAAGTACGACGACGCGGCGGTAGGAACGCGGCTGACGCCGAGCAAAAACGATCGGCGCTGTCTGCCATGCTTTTTGCGGGCATCACAGTTTCCAACCTCTCTCTCTCCTCCTGGTCGTTTCTAGCTGCTGGTATCTCCCGTTGCCGCTTGCTACGCCCGGCACCCAATTCTCGACGCGGTTACGCCCGGCATTCGCGGGATATCGTCGCGCAACGCGAATATACAGGGTGCTCGGTAATTGGCGGTGCGCGATGGGCACGTGGGGTAAGTCGATTTATGGAAATAACTTTTTCCCTAACGAGAGAGAAAGAGAGAGGAGAGGGGGAAGGAGGGAGGGAGGGAGGAAAAAGATGCCCGGGGAGAGACCGGTTGCGCAACCCCTATGCTTCGACTCTGTAATCAGAGATTGAATTAAGCCAGGTGTAATCTTGATGACGCCGATTTAATCGACGACGCTGGTGGCACTGAGAGAAATGATAGCTAGGTATTCTTTATAGCGCATCACCACTGACGATCGCAGGCAACGGTCCAATGAACACAACGATCGTTTTCGCGTACAGCAGTACAGCGGATGCTCGCATCTTTCACACTTAGTTTGCGCAACAAAGTCGTGATATGTTTCCACGATATTCCTGATGAGGCAAGGGGATAAGTTACAGCGAATTAACTCTCACGGCACGTACGTTATGCGCGCTTTTTACGGGCGCAACAATTTTCAATCGACTTCTTTTTGTCGACTTGCAGCCACACGAAATTACGCCGGTCTCTCGACGTCGAGAGTCGAGATATCCCGAATCCCAAAGGATCTTTCCGCATTATTATCTCGCGCGCTCATTATCTCTGACCATAAGGAGAGTGCGAGGATTCGACGACGATTCCAGGCGTTTCTCGCGCTGTACGGTGAACGGCTCGAGAGAGAGTTCGCGGCATAGAAGGAATATTAATGAGCGGGCAAGTGAAAAATTACCCTTCGGCTTTAATGAGTCGTTAGCAAGTCAGAGATGCTAAACAGCTAGCGAATCATCGATACGCGTTGGAACAGAATACAAAAAACAAAAAAAAGAAAGAAACCGAAGGTAGACCGGTGAAAAATTTCTTCGCGGTTTTGATGAATGTCGTCTCGTAGTGGAACTCTCAAGAAACTAGAAATATTACGTACGTGGAGAATATGAGCATAATCCATTCTCCGTCAGATTTTGTTATAACGAGCATTTTGATTTACATCGACCTGTCGTTCCGATCAGATTCGTTTACGCGATTACACTACGATATGTAATTTCGCGCTACAAATAACGGAAACCAGATGTCTCAGACAACGTACGTATAAAATTATAATAAAAACAAGATTTAATATTAGTTGACCTGAAAAAACAAGCAACATGTGAAATCTTAACTATCTTCTCGCCGGTATCGTTAACTATTTCGTAAAAATTATCTACATTTTATTCGCGTAGTTAGATCAATCGTGGTTCTTCCTCGTGTAAAATAGGCGACAATACGTTCGCACACGCGAAAACTAATTATCGGTACAACAGAGCGATATAGAGCGTCATGAATCGACAGGATTATAAATAAGGTGTGACTGCGCGCTTTTGCAGCTGAAGACAATTACACGGCTGCGGCGGTGCGATGCGGCGCAGCGCTTCTTGCGATGAAGCTGCTGTATCTCTCTTCCTCTCTTATAGAACTGGAACGAATTTCGTCGGAATTATATGGACTCGCGTCCTCCTCGTCACATGTATCTGCAATATTGTGCAACCGCGTGACCAATACAGTCTTAATAAAATTACTCATAATCGCACATAGACGAGATGCACTGTTAAATTTATATCATACATATTATACCCAATTTGAGTTATTTTTAATCATTTTTATAGGTCGCCACTACTCCTATTCAATAAGTCGTCAATTTAGCAAAAACAATGGGGTTAAACAATTTAATTCAAAGAAACGTGTATTTGACTCAAATTTAGTTCATTATTTACTAATGTCTATTTCTACCAATGTAGATTAACTTTAATCTCAAAATAGTTTAGTTTACTTTTTATCCTTTTCTGGTTCTCAGAACTAAAAAAAGATAAAAAGTAAGTTAAAGGTAATTTAGGTTGATAAAAACGGGCATTAGTCGTACGTTAATATCAACGTTGTCATGGATTGATTGATTTACGTTTTGACACATATGAAAGTTAAAACTAACAAAATGTTATTTATCTCAAGCAATTGGGTTACTATTGCTCCTTTGATA